CTGTTATCCACACTTATTAACAACTACCAAAAAATACCATTAATTACAGGTACATTTATAGCCTTAACAACGTTTCGGAATATGATGTTAAGGTTTAATTAGTTCAGCCTAATTAAATAGAGCGATCCTTCCGCATGCGTGTGCGAAACGCTTATAAGGCTGAAGCTATTGATAGGACAGCGGTCAAAGTATTGCTCTTTATTTTGCAATTTTTCTGGTGTAGATACAGTTTTGTTATAATATTTACTTACTTTACCTGTCACAAGGCTAGCTTGGTTTAACGTATTGGCAACGCTATCTGAGTTGCTGTTGAATGCCGCGCCCCTGACTCTATTTTGGATCAAACCTTAGTAATAAATATGTTGTACCAATTTTTGGGTGGCACAAGGATTCTTTTATGTTTATAACTTTTAAGTGTGTTAATTTAACTTGGTGACGCATTTTTTGCTCCCTCATAGAGCAGTATAAAACAGCTTTTCTTGACATAGTCTCTCTTAAAACACTTCTTGTCATTTGTATCTAGCTTTGCCTTCCTCTTTATGCTTTGACATCGCCTAATCTTACTTTGTTTCTTACCATTTTCTCACTTATTTTTTAGTTTGTTTCCTTTATTGATGGAAGAAAGGGATACGGGCCTCATTGAGAGTACCCTGGATCAGCAAGCTTTCGCTAGGGGTCTTCGGCATGAAGACTTATCAAACATCTTGCTTACGCAACATAACTTGCTTTCTCGCCTAGAAAAGACTAATGCAATGTTGCAAACGTTAAATGAACTTTCAAATCATCGGCTGGATTTACTTGCTAGTCAGTTGCGAGCGAACACTCGACTTCTGATTTCAATGAAACGCGAACTGGTTACGATTCTTAGGAGAGCTGAGTCAATGAAGAAAACTCTTATGAATCAATACCCGCCTGAGTACGAGCTAGCTTCTGGTACTATTGAGAGTTCCTGGAAAGCCGAACTAGAGGCTGAGTCCAGGCCATCTTCTGATGTTCAACCTTCCACTCTCTTCCACCCTATGATCCCCCTTACTGAGTGAATGGAATTAGTGTCGTGACTTGCTGTTTAATGGAACGTTTCTACTATTTTTGTTTTTTTCTGGAGTGTGACCGACATAACACTTTCATGATTTATATTTATTCTTCAAAATGTGAATTTTAATGTGACTTTAGTAATGCCCAATATCTGTTCTGGCATACTGTCGGATTTTATATGCTGCAAAAAATTTGCCTTTGAATTACTTGGAGAAATCACTCTCTTGGCTAAAGGCTCGAAGCAAGCAAGTAAAATTTTGAAACTTTCCTGTTGCATTTTCGTGGGACTGATCGTCGCAAGAATTTTGGCCTACCTCAGTAACAGGTAGAGTGTAAAGGATCAGGGTGATAGTTTTCTTTAGCATTGCACTCTCCGCCTTTTCGGATCTGATTTTATTTGATGTTTTGTTTCTCCTTGTCGCTCTGGTGAGCATATGGGTGAGGCAGCAAACAGCTGATGTGAGATCCTATTGTTTTGGATATGATCGATTCGAAGTGATTGCTGTTTTTGCATCAACCATTTTATCGATCCTCTCATCATTCTATCTTCTGAAGGAAGCCGTAGAACGCCTTTTTGATCCCGTTGTGGTATGTACTTTTCTCCAGCTTGTTGCCACATTCTTTTTTTGCAAAAGGTATATCTATCGCAAAATTTCAATGGTACCACTTCATATGTAAACATAGGTGCGTGCTTTTTTTATTTTTCATAGTTTATTTCGTACCAATCCTTAGTCACATGGAAGTTAAAACTTTGTCGTCACCATTCAAGCCATTGAGAATGTAGGCTTAGTTTTGGTGGAATTGTGTTTCTGGCGACTGTTATCCCTTTTAATGCCGGCACTAAGACTTCCATTTTAGGTGGCTGTTGAATATATGCCTTGGGCAACTCTAGTTTGT